ATGATATATAAACATTTTTCTTAGAAAGATTCGATATAAAAACTCAAGAATTTCACTAGTAAGAATCGAAAACTCGACCCATCGAATGGACATGCATTTTAACAGGTCGAATTTTTTAATTTTTACTAGTATTTAAATAAACAAATAGATATTTTACCACGATCTCTACTACTCCAAATATCAAAGGCAACCAGATCATAAATATTTTTATCAGGGCCAATATATTTTTTAGTCGAGTCAGAAAAGAAAATATCAACTTCTTCTTGACGTTGAAGAACTAATGACCAAAGTACTCTGTCTAGGCCAAGTTGTTCTAAAAGAGTGAGATTTTTAAGATCGTTCAAAGCCAAATCATAAAGAGTATCACCATATTCATCTTGAATTCGGTAAAAATCACTAAATAATTTCAAAAAATTTATTAGATGCATTTTGGTAAAAATTAATGACATGTAATATTAACCTTAATTCACTATGACTGTATCGGAATGTGACAGTTTGAAAAAACGTGTCAATTCCTGTCAGCATATAATTAAATTTATTTTAGTAGATAGAAACACGACATTTAATAACTTAAAGTGACTTCATTATGACGGAAAAATGAAATTTCTAACCTGGCTTAAGGTCAGGATTATATTTCTGGTATGCTGGTAAAGGACGGCCAAGAATAGCGCCAAAATATTCTTCAGCCACAGCTTTTTGAAAGAAGGCAGTAATCCAACGCCTCTAAAATTAAATTTATTTAAACATTAATAATTGATTTAATTTAATAAATTAATAATAATAATAATAGCCTACAGCTTCTTGAAAATATTGTTCATCAGTCCAGGAATCACCATGTAATGCATATAATTCATCACATAAACGGTTATGTTCTCGTATCCAAATTGTCTGGATAGCCAAAGTGAATATACTATATGAACGTTCCGAAGTTGCACCCCAAATATAAGAACCATCGGACGCGTTTATTGGAGGAAATTGTTGGCCGTTGACAATAGAAGTCAACAATTTTCCTCTATTTGTTGAAGTATCACGAAGCCTGGTCATCGCGTCCCGATCACTAATACCATAAATATTATTTAGGTCAAAAAAGGGGGTAACATTATTTATTCCACTTAAGGAAGGATTTCGGGTTGCAGGATTAATGTCATTATTTCCACTGGATCGATTAGCAGGTAAAAAAGGTACAGTAAGTTGGTAAGGAGATATAGTGGTGTTTGGATTTGGATTATAAAATGGATCATCAGCAGGTAAGAACATTGGGTAATATGGATTTGTACTTTTTGAAGAAGTAATATCAAATGAAATATATTGGCCAAAGAAAGTAGCCTATAATATATTGTAAATAAAAAAGATTAAAATTTAGAATATAAATACAAAGATGATTATAATTGACACGATGCAAATTTACATATAACTTACGAAATGGCTAGTTCGTCTGAATGAACGATAACTTGATAGTGAGTTAACATCGTAAGGTTGAACATGATAACTACATATTACATTTGATATACATCGTGGCATAGGATATTGCCCAGAAGGTACTTTATCAGTGCATTTAATAGTAGTCGGACCGCTCGGGTTTAAACCAAGAAAATCAGTGGGCGACGTAACAGGAGTAGAATTCTGACTGAATTATATAAATTAATAATTATTATTTGAACGCATTTAATTCGAGGATTATATATATCAATGATTGATTACTTGAAATTTAGAGAACTAATGGCTCTCAAAAAAGGTTGATTCGGAGTTCCGGCGATCGAATTTAGAGCATTATTGTCACTACCGTCGATTAAACGAGCTTCTACGATAACGCATCGAAACAACAGGAATGAAAACCAATTTATAAAAAGAAATATCATTAACATTTGAGACATTAATATTTGAGAAGGCTTTTTTTTTAAAAAAAGAAGACTTATTTACGATTGTAAAAAAGTGAAAAACTAGAAATAAATGCTACGATATATATATATATACATTCATAGATGCATGCATGATCGAAGGATCGGTGTTCCTATTGATTAAAAAGTAGCAACACTACCATTTTACCATTTTCCGCATTGAGAACATAAGCTTTGCAGTAATATCAAAGGCTGTTTTTTAGTGGCTAAGAATAATTTTTAAGTTGTTCCTCTTACGTATAAATCATTATGCTAAAAGAATAATAATAGTTGAGTATAACTATTAATAAAATAGAAACACAATCTGCAAGAAAAAAATAACAAAAAACTGGACTTCCTAATAAGGTCTAGTTTATTAGATCAATTAGGAGTAGTGATGCTGCGTAATTTGTTAAAAAGAATATTCGAAATAGAACACAGATCGAACGAAGCTATATCGGATAACAGTTCGTAACTACGGCAAATTCGCATGTACCTCTTTACCAATTTTGTAATAAAGTACAGTGAATACAGTAACGATAATGGTAAAACCATCAACAAGATCAGTATCGACATGTTTGTTTGGATTGTCATAATATACTAATTATATATATATATATTTTATATATGATATTATTCAATTCATCAATAATATAATTATTATTATAATTATTAATAGTTATTGGATACAATGACCAATAACGATTAATTTTCGATATGCCATACACAGTACTCATTATTTTTAATTTTATTACCGACGGGTATGACAAACCTGCAATAAATCGTGGTTTTTTTTATGGCGTACCAAACAAAGTGTCAAATAATGTTATTATTCGTCAGATAACGTCGCAGCTGAATGCATGGGTAACTATATCTTCCCCAGTATCGCCATAAAAATTTTACTGTCATGTGATCGTACCAAAAAATCTTTAATTTCGTTTAGGTTAGGTTTAGAGAACTTTTTGTTAATGCACAGAAAGCGATTTCTTATGCAAATTTTTTTTTTTTTTGCAAAACGAATGTTTTGAATAGTGTTACAAGCCAAAGGTTTTTATCGGCTGGCTTAGCCAGCCGATAAAAAATTCAGCTTAGCGGCTGGCTAATGGCTAAAGCCAAATTTTTTTCTTAATCTTGTTCATCTTCGATGTTCGTTCATTTTCTCTTTAGAAAT